AAGGAAGGAAGGAAGGAAGGAAGGAAGGAAGGAAGGAAGGAAGGAAGGAAGGAAGGAAGGAAGGAAGGAAGGAAGGAAGGAAGGAAGGAAGGAAGGAAGGAAGGATGGATGGATGGATGGATGGATGGATGGATGGATGGATGGATGTGCTGAGCTCATTCAGAAGATTAGTGCTGTGACTTGTTTGTAACTTGTATACTTTTTGAAATGTTCTTGTTTGTAACTTGTATACTTTTTGAAATGTTCAACTTTACAAATATTTTCTCAGTAGAAATGTGTTGGTCTCTTTAATTTGTTGAAAAACTTTGTTTTATTTTAAATCTTTTTCAGCGTACCTGCTCTGTTTTTGTCTTTTAAACAGACTGACTTTTAGCTCACCATTAGCTACTTTGAGCCAAAGTTTAGTTACTTTTAGCTCAAAATTAGCCTCTTATGTAGTGTTTTAGCCAAACCTGCTACTTTTAATTAGCCTTTTGCGCCTATTAGCTAGTGTTTTGTTCTTTTTAACACTGCGCTGCTTCTTTTAGCTTGAATAACCCTTTCAGATTCTACAACAAAATGTTCACTGTGTTTTTGTCCAAGAAATGTGATGTTCAAGTTTGCCCTCTGTGCTTCTGTTGAACCTCACAGGGTTGGAAGAGGCGATGTCGCCTGCTTCGGCTGTTTTTATCAAGCTCACACCAAGCCATCCTGCCTGGCAACAAGCCCATCTTTTTGGTCACAGAAGTTTTTTTTTTTTTTTTGTCACAGTCTGGTGGTGTGATGAGTTCCCTGGAGTGGCCTTTTCCAGTCTTCATACCCCCCCCTCCCCATGACCCCCTGACTGTCAGACTTTATGAATTATGGATGAGTCTGGATAGATTCTTATAAAATATGAATTTTCTAAGGAGAACTTTGGAAAACAAACACCTTGGTTGTAGACATCATGTAAAAACTCCGGGGACAGAAAGTGCGGAGGTTTCAATTCCATCTTGCCTCCCAGTCAGCTGTAGTTTCCTAAACGAAGGCTTCATGTTTTCCTCCCATTGGATCGCAGACAGGCTGTCAGAGCCGCGTGTCTTTCTCCCACTCATAAACACTAGAGGGAGAGGAGGGACTCGACTGTGAGGAAGCTTCAGTCCAGTTTCCACTTCGAGCAGCTCGAGACCATCCTTCACCGGTGAGTTTCGTTTTATTTTGGGTGGGGATTTAGATCACGAGGTAAACCAAAGCGTCTTGCTGATGTTTATTGTGACGCATTTACAACAATAAGTCTGAAACATTTGGACTTTTATTTTCTCTCGTGGGGTTTTACATGTTTGAAAACAACTTTGAAGTCTGTTAAATGAGCGGGGGGAACATTTCTCGATACAACACCGGTGTTCTGACTGATAAATCCTCCCGGGTAGGTGGCGGGACGGAACGAGCTCTCGGACTCGTCAGTTACAGGTTGAAGTGAGCTCGAGAGGAACTGCGTGACGTGATGAGTTGCCCCGCGCGTGTCGGCAAGAGCGAGAGGAACGATGTGGCGCGCGTCAGGGAGCCCCCCCACCCCGTCATGTATCATTTCCCGTTCAGTAAACTACACATTACCACTGTTAGCAGGCGGCATCACTTACGAGCACGTGCTGCGTGACAGGGGTCGCGAGGTTGGGTGAATCAAGATGGAAATAACATGCAATTTCAAGCAAGGCTGCCTCCACAAAAACCCAACATGAATAAAAACGTCAATTAGTTATATTTATGACGGCCTCTTAAACTGCTGGAAATTTACTGGGAAGAGCCTAGTGGTGCAAAGTAAGGTCCGCGGGCCAAACTGAGGACTACCTCGATCTGAATCTGGCCCTTGACGATCTAAAATGAGAGACCAAGCCTGCATGTCTTCTTCTGCCTGTCATTTAAGAGTTTAAAATTAAAGTCTTCTGATGAAACAAAGTCCATGCTCAATAATCCAGGTAGAAAATATTTTTCAGTCAGGTCATCTGGACAGTTAATTTTTTTTGTGCTGAAATGTTTCGCCTTCAATCCAGAAGGCTTCTTCAGTCAAGGAAACACACAACAAAACTGATTCTTCCTCCAACAGCTTACTCCAAAGTGGAACAAACCAGTTCTGCTTGTGATAAGATGGTCTGTTGGTACGCCCCTCCTCCACTGCCGGCCCTCTTCCTTGTTGACTGTCTTGTCAAACTGGTTGAAACCAGTTCTGGTACCACAATGTACCAGTGGGAGTGTCTATGAAGTTGGTGATGACCAGTTAACCAGTGAATACAGAGTGCAGTGGTGAGTACGATAGTTACAGCCAGTTATGAATCTTAATTGTCACGATTAGAGGGTGTTTTTGACCTTAACTCAAAAACGGCGTTGTCATCGGGAAACAAAAAGCCTGAAACGGTCGTCCAACATGAAGCCTCCATCATTCTACAAAAAATAAACAACTTGTATGAGTTACATGTCATGCAAATGTAATCGAGCCTTTTCTTGTGTATTGCTTTGCAACTGATGTTACATTAAGTGTGATATGATGTTGGATATGATGTGATGGATATATGTAGTGTACCATGTTCCATTTAAACTCGATCCCATTAAATAAGTCAAAATGGTTGCCTTAGTGGGCGAGTGACATCTAGCCTACCAAATTAATCATCTTTTCTTACGTCACAGTTATAAGAGCCAATCCCAGCATTTCTTATAAACTATATTTTTTGGGGGAAGTGAAATGTGCAGAAAGTTGTGAGACAGAGCAATACATCAATGTCATAATTACTTTTTCCTCGTCCCTTTGCAGCCTCATTAAAACACCGTTTGAGGTGACTACTTTGTTGCTCGGAGGAATCACACCTCCCTGCAGGCAACTTGACATGCTCCCAGCTCTCTGTCTCTTTCCATTTCCTCCTCCTTCTGTTCTTTTTTTTTTTTTTTTATGACCATCAGCATCGTCCTCCGTGAAGCCCAGTGGGAGGGAAGTCCACTCTGCAGGAGTCAGTCTGTCACCTCTAATTCTGAAATTCTGTCAACTAGTCACCCCCTACAGTTTGAACAGCTTATGTTAATCTTTGTCATTAAATAAACAAAAGCATAATAAGCTCCAAAAGCCATTTATTATATTATGGTCTTAATGCCATGCACTGTTAGGTGTTTTTTTTAATAAAGGCAAAGGCCACTGGAAGCATTGCAGATTGCTTTTTAGGTACAGACCAAAGGTTTGGGATCTAATGAGGACATTGAGAGGAAGGATCTGAGCCGAAAGGCAAAGCTCTGAATTTACCGATCTATGTTCCAGTCCCTCACCTAGATTTGAAATATGGATCATGGTCAATAAACTGAGATACGAGCGGCTGATATGAGCTTCCTCTGTAGGGTGGCCAGGATCGGCTTTAGATACGGACCTTGGTCATTCAGTGGGATCTTGGACTGGGGCCTCTGTGCCTCCTCTTCAAAAGCAGTCAGCTGAGGTGCCTGGATAATCTGGGATGCTTCCTCTGGAGGTTAACTATGGAACACCAAAATGCTCAAAATTAAATAAATAAATAAATAAAGCATTATGAAATAAGTATTTAAGTTCATTATTATGATTTTTTTTTTATTGTTTTATTTCATAATTGTGTTTTTCATGACTTATTTATTTCATACCACTTTTCAGCAGAATGACTTCAGCTGTCAATCAACGTCAGTGGGTTGGACCTTCACGTCCACTGGCTGATCCTTCACATCCATTAGTTGTACTGCTGCTCACTGGTACAGCTAGCATAGCAGCTAGCATAGCAGCTAGCATAGCAGCTAGCAGCGACTTGCTAGGTCAGCAGTCATGAAGGATGGCAGAGTTGCATGGACTTCGTTCAGCTCAGGTAACTAGCAGATCAAACTGAGAGGATTACGTTCTCAGAAGACACAGGTGTCGTGACAAAAACGAATGGACTGCCAAAAATCGGTCAGCGCTGCAGGAGCGCACATGGGAGGACTCGCTGTTTTAGTTCTTTGAGTTTCACAAAATGAACACTAGCTGTACCAGTGAGCAGGTATTCAGGAAAACTAATGGATGCGAAGGATCAGCCAGTGGGCGTGCAGGTCCAACCCGCTGATGTGATTGACAGCTGAAGACATTCTGCTGAAAAGTGGCATTATGAAATACACTGCCTGGTCAAAAAAAAGTTGCCACCAAAAAAAATAAAGGTCACACACTAATATTTTGTTGGACCGCCTTTAGCTTTGATTACAGCAGCATTCACTGTAGCATTGTTTCGATAAACTTCTTCAATGTCACAAGATCTATTTCCATCCAGTGTTGCATTAATTTTTCACCAAGATCTTGCATT